CAACTCCGGAGGTGCACACTCTCGGCTGTCTCTCGGCTGTGGGTCAGCTATCTCTCGGCTGTGATGCACCATCGGCGCCCGCGCTCGCTTGCTCGCCACCCCTCGCCACAGACGCCGCCCCGCCGACAGACGACGCCCTCGCGGAGGAGAAGGCAGACCGCGCGGAGGAGCGTCCCGGCATGCACGGTATCTGACGGGCGCTGCGTGGCGACGTGCGCGGCGCTCCGGCGAAGCGCGGCCGCTAGCCTGCAGAGGGCCTGGCCCGGTGCTGCTTCGGCATAGTGCCGCACGATGCAAATGGGACAACCGGGGGCGGGGAGGAGGAGGGGGGGGTATACGGGGCTTCTCCTACGAGAGTGAGAGCAGCGGCCGCGATGCCGCGTTTTACTCTCACCATGATTTGGCATGGCCAGGGGGGGATCGAGGGGGCTGGGGGGGGGGAGGGGGGGTGACAACTGAGTGTGTCGACCGCGAGCCATCCATACACACACATGTCGGGCTCTAGCGGCATCGGTTTCTTGTATTTCACAGATGTGCACTCGCACTCTCACACGCAGTGAAGACTGAAGTGTCTGTGTGAACTCACTAGGTATAAGTTACTCTATAAATAATAAAAGTACTCCCATCGTGCATCGACCAACACGGTGTGTGCTCAAACAAACGGAGATCGTGATCGAAAGCTCGCGGCGCCACCACCTTTGTCGTCGCCCTCACCGCGGTCATGCTCGCCGTCTCGCTCGCTGTCATCCTCGTATCGGCGGTCAGCGCCGCGAGGGCGAAGACCATGCGGCTCGTCTCTTCGAAGCGCGAGCCGATGCGCGACGGCATCACCCTCGCTGACGGCCAGCAGTGGCACCTGTTCCTAACAACGTCTGGAGCACCGGCCAAGTGACCTTTGCCACTTCCGTGCCCGGCCTGACCTGGCCTTCCTCCCTTGTAGGACGCTGTCGCCGTCATTAAGAACGAGCTCATGCAGCTCCTCCCCGGCTGCGAAATCTTAAGAACGAGCTCATGCAGTCGACGTCGATGACCTCAAGAACATCGGAGAGCTGGAGGCGACATTGGCCGCTCGCAGGTGGTGATCTGCTTCCTGTCGAGAGGCTACCTGCGCTCGACGAACTGCCTGCGAGAGATACGCGCCGCGCTGGAGATGGGCAAGCCGCTCGTGCTCGTCCACGAAGCAGACCCGAACAAGGGCGGAGGCACGCTCGCCGAGCTGCGATCCGAGTGCCCCGAGGTAGAGGAGCTGCAGGCCGCCATCTTTGAGGCCGGCTGGCCGATGGTGGTGTGGCATCGGATCGAGGACTTCCAGCACGTCTCGCTCAAGGTCATCGCCGAGGCGCTGCTGCTGCAAATGCCAAGTACACCAGATCGCTGCCCCTGTACACATCCCGGGCGAGCTTCGAGCGGACGGCCTCACTTTCGCCAAGCCAACGGTCCTCTGGGCCCCTCGCCCTCAAATGCCGGGGCGCGAGAGCTCGCAGACGACCTCGCCGCGGCGGTCACCGGCAGCCGCGCCGTCACTGATGCAACCCCCCCGGTCCTCTCCTCGCTGCCTGCGAGCAACAGCGAGCCGACGGCGACGAGGCGACCCACATGCTGCTCTACTTGAACGAGGCGACCTGGGCCGGCGATGGCGCCGAGGCGCTCGCAGAGCAGGTGCGTGCCGCGCGCAAGGCCAAGCTGCCGATCGTCATGGCGCACGAGAACGACGCCGTCCGCGGCGGCTGCATCTTTGGGCACTTTTTCGAGGTGACGCCGCGCGACCTGATCGCCGATGGGCTGTACGACAGCCTCGCCGTCGGCTCAGTGTGCAGGGGGGGTACCGAGCAGTGTGCGGCCGCTCCTGCTACACGGGCCCGCACCGCCATGTGTCGATCGCCCTCCTCGCAAAGGCGCTCGGGGCGACCAGGCAACAGGGGGTCTCATCTCTGGTACGCCTCGCTAGCTTTTGGTCCAGCTCGGCCGGAATACGCGTCGCCAGCTCCCGGTCCAGCTCGGCCGGCTCCCTCGGTGTCCGCTGCGCTGACGTCGGCGTCCACCGCACCTCCGCAACGGCGGAGCAAGTGACGGGCGACGACCAAGAAGCGGCGGCGCCACCCAGCCTCTTAACCGTTGCGGAAGTCCTACCCTCAAGCAGAGTATAGGGGACGGGGTAGAATGCTGGCGGTTCACGTCGGCCGAGGCCAGCGAGACTCTGCTCAAGCGGCGCCTTCTCGCGGCGGCTGGCTGGGGCAGAGATTTTTCGAGTAGCATTCTCGAGGTTCTGGAGTTCTCCAACTGATTGGGACGGGGTATATAAGACGACGGCCAATGAGCGGCAAACTGGCGAGGCACGAGGCTAGAGCTGTTTAAGCTTTAACGTTGGGAGCTGAACAGTGTTGCTGGTGTTAACAGTAACAACAGAACAACAGTGGGGGGCTCCCCAACAACAGTACCTAACAGTTAGGCCGGCTGAACAACAATAAGGAAGGCCTGGCAGCGTCCAGTGCGGGTAATACCCGAATGAAAATACCCGGGAAACCCCAGGTATTTTCGGGTTTTACCCCCGGTTTTTTTGGCATTTTTTGCTTCCTGACCGCTGAACAACAGTAACAACAGTAACAACAGTAACAAACAGTAACAGCATGGGCTGGGGTGAACACTTGAACACTGTTAAGGATTTCAGCCAACACTAGCGCAACTGTAAGGCCCAAAGTTAGGCACGTGAGAAAAAGAATTCGGGTCCACCTTATCACGCAGTCGCGCAGGGCGAGACGAGGGAGGGAGCAGGACGTTGCGGAGATCAGCAGGAGGATGTACGAAGAGATTAGGAGCAGCAGGGACCCGAGGGACCATGTGGAAGACGGCTAGTGCTAGTCCCCCATCGGGAGGACGACCCCGGCTAGTGTCGCCGACCACACCCACAAAGAACCCTGCACAAAGACCGCAGGGCGGGGACCTGTTCCTTTTTACCCATCTCCTAGTAGAGGTGTCCGTTTTATTTATTTATCACGACACCGTGGTTCGGCCGTGGTCCGTGCCGCGATGTGTGTGCGAGATGTGTGAGCTGTGAGGCGGTGTGTGGACGGAGATCAACGTACAAAGAGTGAAACACCTCTTCCTTGGGTCTCGTACTACACTACTAACTATTTTGTACACTACACTATTTTGTACAAGTGCGCCTCCCGACGCGCGAGCCCTTGGGCGCCCGCTACACGCTACAGCCCACCCACGAGAGCCCTCGACACGAGCAGCCCCATCCCGAGCAGGTTGGCCCACAGAGCGAGCGCGAGCACGATCGGCTTCCACCCGAGCGACTTCACCTTGACCAGGTCGGTGTCCAGCCCGAGCGCCGCCATGGCCGAGCCGAGAAAGCAGGCGGAGAGCGTGGTGAATGCCCGCTGCAGCGCTGGCGCGATGCCCCAGACCGAGTTGACGGTGGCGACGCCGATAAAGCCGAATGCAAACCACGGCACGCCCTTGCCGGCCTTGGCGGAGCTGCTGCCGGCGCGGGCCTTGGACTGGCCAATGCCCAAGTAGTACAGGGCAATGATCCACGGCTCGAGCAGGAAGACCCGCAGCAGCTTGGTGACCACCGCTGTCGAGGCGACCTCGGCTCCCATCGCGTTGCCCGCTGCCACCACACCCGCAAGCTCATGCACCGTCGAGCCGGTGTAGATGCCCATCAGCCGCGGGTCGGCGGCCAGCGCGGGCAGCAGCTTGAACATGAGCGGGTACGAGAACATTGCAGAGGTGCCACAGAGGACGACCACGCCCACGGCGGCGGCCACCTCGTGCGCCTCCGCGTTGATGATGGGCTGCGTCGCCGCCACCGCCGAGCAGCCGCAGATGGCCGAGCCGGTCGAGATGAGCGTGACGAGCGCTTCCGACAGCCCCAGCGCCCTCCCGAGCGCGAAGCCAAACGTGAGGGTGGAGGCGACGACGTAGAGATCTGTCAGGAGGCCGGGAAGGCCGATGCCCAGGATTTTGGCAAAGGTTATCTTTGCGCCGTACAGGATTATCCCCGCGCGCAGCAGCCGCTGCTTTGCAAACTTCATTCCGACGGCCGTGCTCGAGAGCGACTTGAGCTCCGGATCGTTGATGCGCAGCACGTTGCCGATCACGATGCCAAAGGCTGTGGCGTACAGGAGCGGAGAGATCGCGCCGTTCGTGAGCCGCTTGGCTGCTAGCTCCGCAGCAAAACCCAGACTGCCGGCGACCGCTAGCCCAGCCGCTCGGTCCTTTACGAAGCCGGCAGCTTCGCGGCCACTCGCTCGCATCTGCGCACCTTGCGGGCTGCGCCGGCCACCCGCTCGCATCTGCGCACCATGCGGGTTGCGCAGCGAGGCGCTCGCTTTCTCGCGACGGGTGCTGATTGCCGGAGTTGTCAGCGGAATTGTCGGATGCAAAATTCTTTGCGGCTTGATGGGGAGGGCTTGACATGATGCCACGACGTGAAGGAAGAGCATTTCGCAGATGAACACGCCAGCGCCAGTCAGTCCAGCCACACCGAAGAAAAAGAAACTACTGCGCACTGGGCGCGGGACTGCCACCCACGTGTCAGTCTGCCTGTGGTAGAAGAGACTGCCGGTGAGAAGTCGGAGGAAGGTCGCTAGTCGAGAGAGATCGCCAGTGGATAGGGAGTCCACCGTGCTGCGAGCCTGTCGCTGTCCCTTGTCAGGAGCAGGAGAACTAGGAGAGCGCAACCAGTAGGAGGCCCGCGCTTGCCCCCGTGCCGCCGGGTGCAACCTGTCCTATACGAGAGAGGAATCCCTGGGACCCTGTCGTGAGGGTGAACCCTGCCCAGCCCCCCTCCGTGTCGCGATGCGCTCCCCGCTCCCGTTCCCCTGTGTCCCTGATCGTCCTTACAAGATCCTGCTCGTGCAGGTGGGGACCCTGTCCTTCTCCCACCCCTCGTTTGGCGTGTACGTTGAATTTATTTATTTATGGCGCGCAATGGCACATGCAGAGATTATTAATAGCCCTGTCTTAGCCGACGGGCACGACCTTGTTCTAAGGCGGCGCACAGGCGGCACACCTGCCTGGCCTGGTGAGTGAGGTGTGAAGGGACAGAGGACACGCTCCCATTTGATGCACCAAACGACTGTCAAAATCTTGTTCTTCCACTTTCTTCCGCACCAAACGACTTCACTCACATCTTTCTTCCACAATCATACAGATACAAAGCAATTCACCGTGCGATCACTGTGTGATCGTCGCGTTGTCAATCCGATCATGGCCCGCAGCGGTAATCCCCTCAAACCCCTCGTGCCAGCGGATGCTCTTCGCGGTCTGCATGACAGCTTGGTCAGCCCTGCCAGCCCCCCGATAGTCAAGGCATCTGCGGAGTCAGAGGTCCTCACGGAACAGAGGTCCTCTCTGGCGGCGAGAAGGTCCTCACAGACTGGAGGTCCTCAAACAGGCGGGGAGGTCCTGATCAGTGCAAGCTGCCTCGGCTGCCGACACCGCAGAGCGACCTTAAGCAAGCGGTAGAGTCGGCACGACGCACAAACGGACTGACTTGCTCACACCAGGCTCACACGGGCCTAACTGCTTGCTTGGCTGAGAGTCGGGAGGTCGCAAAAATCTGGAGAGAAGAATGAGGTAGAGATTAAAATCACAAGGTGCAAATGCCTGGTGCAGTGACGAGAGGCGAACGAGGTAGAGATTAAAAACCACAAGGTGCAAATGCCTGGTGCAGTGACCACAAGCCGCTTGAGGCCCTCGGTAAGCTCATTCAAGCACACCTCTGTCTGTTATGATTAAACTTCACGAGGATGTTGGTGCGTTCGGATGTTGGTGCTCGAGCAAGCCACAGGACATCGTCCGTCAATCAAGAGAAAAGAAAAAATGGTCAGGGGCAAACTAGCACCAAACGACTCTCACTCACATGCATGTTTCTTCCACATACAGATACAAAGCAATTCACCTTGCGATCACTCATCACTGATCGTCGCGTTGTCAATCCGATCATGCCCACACGCTGCGGTAAATCCCCTCGCCCCCTCGTGCAAGCGGATGCTCTTCGCGGTCTGCATGACAGCTTGGTCAGCCCTGCCAGCCCCGCGATAGTCAAGGCATCATCTGCGTGAGGACCTCTCTGGTGAGGACCTCTGCACTTGTGAGGTCCTTCTGGCTAGTCAAGCTCCACCATCTTTCAGTTTCGCTGCAAACAAATTCGAGTGCTCTCCGAGAGCGAGGCGAGCAGGTAGAGATGCACTCCCTCATCGTGGGGTGGGGAGATAGGGAGAGGTCCTCGCGGAACAGAGCTCCTCCCTGGCGGCGAGAGGTCCTCACAGAGTGGAGGTCCTCACACGGGCGGGGAGGTCCTGCTGCCTCGGCTGCCGACACCGCAGAGCGACCTTAAGCAAGCGGTAGAGTCGGCACGACGCACAACCGGACTGACTTGCTCACACCAGGCTCACACGGGCCTAACTCGTAACTGCTTGCAGCTTGGCTGAGAGTCGGGAGGTTGTCGCAAATCTGGTGTGAGAGAAGAATGAGGTAAAGATTAAGGTAGGACGTGGTGCGTGCTGGTCACCGGGAACGTGCAGTTGCTCAAAGTTGGAGACGGCTCGCTGTTGGTAAAGGCTAGCACCCCGTACCAAAAGCACCCCGTTTTTGCCAATTTTTGGTCATCCGTCAAAACATCTGAAGATCTGACCGGGGGATTCTCCCCAAACCTTGCTCAGCTGATCCAGCACGGGCCGTAGGCCAGCCCAGGGCAAAGAAACTAGTACCTCATCAGGCTTCCCTGAGCGTCACAGCTCGGTGATCGCGCCGGCCGGAGACCACTGTAACGTCCGTTCCGGGCATTTGAACGCGACCTTCGGGGGCAAAGACATGGGCTCTATGGCTCAGACTGGACTCCTCTTGGTCCCTTCTGATGCCCTAGGCCACACCTGGGCCTTCCTCTGGGGTCCTAGGGGCCGGGCAGGGTTTGCCCCCCCCAACTGGCCCGAAGGACCTTTTATATGAACCCGCGTGCGACCAGAAGGTCGGCTGTGAGGCGAGGCTGAAGGCAGACCCAAAAGTGGTGGATTTCTGTTGCTCACAGTTGAGGGCGATCCGCCGTGAACTGACGGCAGGTAAGCCGGCAGGTGGGCGGCGGGGGTGTCCCGGGTAGCGGGCGAGCCGGGCCCGAGTTCGGGCGGGGGGGGGCGCGGGAGCATGAGCAAAGCGCACCGACATGCTGGTGGCTACCGGTCTCTTGATTGCCTGATTTTGACGATTCTCGTTGGCACTGTCGTTCGGAGCGCATCCCGAAACCTCTCCGCTCGAGACGGAATTTAATTGTTTTGGGGGTTGGGGGATTCCGACCGACCTACGGGGTGTGGACCGTGAGTTGACCAGGGGTTGTGCGCCGGGCCCTCCTGCTCGGCTCCTGCCTGTAGACAAGTCTTGTCATCAACAGAGTAGAAGGATCTGACCTCGGGGCCGATGTGACCAAGCGCTGGTAGCGTGGTTTAACCTCACGCCCATGGTCTCACAGTGTGCCGGCAGTCGCCGAGCAGTGTCGCTCACACAAGCCGCAGCACAAGTGACTGAGGGCCAGTGAGGGCGAGCCCATCGCTGTCACAGCTGTGGTAGCCGCACAGTAGGCTGTGTCAGCTGTGCAGAGCGTGTGAGCAGCAGAGGAGCTGCTCTCCAAGCTTCAGGCGCAAAGAGCTGCATGCCACCGAAGGCGCTGTCGAGGTGTCGAGGTGTTCGCCGAGCGCGGCGCAGGTTGGAGGACACCGTCACCGACGAGCGCGTTGGAGTATTCACTCCGGACAAAGACGGCGACACGCACACGAGCCGCGGCCGTGTCGCCGTCCTCCTTTAGTGACCCTCGCATCTAAGAGGTCTAAAAAAGTGCCCGACTTTATGCCGCTTACACGTCTTACCAGGTAAGGTAAGGTAAGGTAAACTTCTCCACACACACGAGGTGGTGCTTACAATGAAAGACTAGCCGGGCACACATACGACTGTACACGCGATTTAACATAAGAGGATGCACCTCACATGGTACTAGCTACTAAAGGGTACCCCGTACCTGCGTAGTCGGGGTCCCTCAACCTCAACTCCCCAACGGCGTCGATCGCAGGTGGAACGCCCCGGAGCTGTTTGGCCGTCCACCTCGCAGCGGCAAGTGGGGCCGGTCCGAAGGGCCTCGACCTCGCCAGCAAGTGTGGCGCCGCGGGGCGAGCAGAGCGACGCCAAGCTGCAGCTACATGGAGAAGTGGTCAGGCGAGCGCCTCGCCCGCGGCGGCAGACGACGCGCCCGCCACGCCTTGCACCAGCCCCGACGCGGCGCCGGTCTAGAGGGCGGAGGGGAGGGAGGGTGATTTGGCCGAGGGGGGTCGCGGGGCGCCACCTTCCCCGCCTGCCAGCGGCTACCCCCCCCCCCCCACCCCCCCCCACCCCCCCCCACCCACCCACACGCACGCACGCACACACACACACACGCACACACACGCACGCACGCACGCACGCACGCACCCACACGCACGCACGCACGCACGCACGCACGCACGCACGCACGCACCCACACGCACGCACGCACCCACACGCACGCACGCACCCACACGCACGCACGCACGCACGCACGCACGCACGCACGCACGCACGCACGCACGCACACGCACGCACGCACGCACGCACACACGCACGCAGAGTGGTGAGGCGAAGGGGGCAAGTCCTCGCATGTCTACACTCATACAAGCGGGTGTGCCCTTCACAGAAACCGCCGGTGGGAGAGCGGCGGTGGAGCGCACGCGCATCGCGTGGTGGATACGACGGCGCGTGGATACACGGCGTGTATACGAAGGCGTGTGTGCAAGGGGGGCTCGTGGAGCCCCCCCACAGGCAGGAGTAAGTACGGCTGCGGATGCTCGCAGCTTCGGACAAACGTCCACTCGGCCGCCGAAACGCAATTCTCGGTGTGGGTGGGTGGGGGGGGGGGGAGGGGGGGCCAAAAGCCGCAACCCCTGGGGGGGGGGGGGGGGGGGCCCCGAAAAAAAGGGTTTTTTTCGGGGGG